GACCCCTCCTCAGGAAATTGCAAGGCCAGATCATCCTGAGTATAAAAATGCCATTTAGACAGATACCTGGTGGCTCATATAACATATAATTTAAACATCTTAGCCACAGACATCCTCTTGGCTGGTTTAGACTGGCCTCAGGCCATTTTATAATACTAGACAGACATATACAGAAACAAGACAGACAAGACACAGATGTGGTCTTTGGGATTGCCTACAGTCAGGAGTGGAACCCACTGTCCTGACCTAGTAGAGATTTCATAGAATGCCAAGAACCTTATCCCTAATCCTTCCCTGGGGGTCCCTGTCCAAGGGGTTACATGGTTTGGCTGAGTCCCTTTTCCACTGAGCCTCAAACTGGCCAAGTGGGTGCTACCCTTAGAAGCTTCGTCACAGACCCAGTCTTCAGCTGATGAGTCTAAATAAACTCCAGGAAGCACTAACAGGGAGTCCCTCCTACTGGTCTATGGCATTCTAATTGGTAGCCCTTGCCATTGAGACTGCTATCGTAGCACCATACTCAAGACAGCTTCGGGGTGGCTGTCTTTAATTGTAGCATCAGGATGAGTGGCTAATTTATGTCTGAGAAATGTTAATGGTATGATAAGGGATTCACAGTTCAAGGGCAGGGAATTCTTCCATCAGAGACCAATTCACAACACCCTTGGAGAATTTGAAGAAACCGAAATTATACACAAAGCAGATAGACAAATGGATGCTTGCTGAAGAAGTCAATGATCAAAACAAAAGTACTTTCTAAACCTAGCCCAAACCCCTTCCTCAGCTGATCAGGTCAAGGGGATTGTCATTCATGGATCAACAAAACTTGGCCAACTCTGATCTGCCTAAGCAGGAATCCCATCTGCTCAAAGAAAAGGGAGTAGAAACAAATTCTACTTATCCAGTTCTTGTTTGCTGATATTGATGTAGGCCACACCAAGTGGGCAGATTCTGCCAGGATCCTGGTTCATGACTCTGAGACAATCTGGTTGCTTTGTTCACCTTGAACCCCACTGCTGTCACCAATTTTGGGTGACTTGGAAATAATGAGAACCCAAAGTAACAAACTTGTCTTAAGTTTGGCAGCAAGGGAGCCCCACTCACGTGGGCAGAGACTCCCCAAAGTGAGTTTACATGGGGCTTATGTGTGCTTAAACCACAAAGGAGAGAAAAGGCTTCAGGCAAAAGGAGATTGGGAAAGGAGGTTGTAAGAGCTGGCTGATTAGATATATTGACCTGAAGGATCAAGCTGATTCCTGAAATCAGGGAACCTTTGAAGTCTCCATGAATAGAAAGTATCACACAGGCTGTTCTTGTGGAAAGGTCATTGGGTTGAGAAGTGCAGTAAGGAAGCCCTTCAATTAGTGAGCTAATGCTTAACACAAGACAAGGGAGTTGGCTCAGTTCACCAAGATGGAAGGAGTTGTGCTTGGTTTGGGATCCACAGTTGCCAACATCAGGCACTTCTGACCACAAGAACAGAAAAGGGCTTTTCTGCTTAGACTGTCCCCTTCATGGGAGGGAGGTAAAGATAGACCTTAGGGAAGTTCCTTAGTTAGAGGAAGTAGGAGAGAAGGGTGATGTCTCTGAGAAGTGCCTGGGTTAGAGGAACCAAGATAGAGGAATAAAGGCAGGAATTTGCCTGAGCTCTCCCAAATTCCCTCCAAATGACTTTAAATAATGCCTCAAACTGAATTCTGGAGCAGCAGAACTCCCAAATGGATGGGGTGAAAAATTTTTAGCTCAAGACAACTTAGAAGTTCTATAAGAAAGTTCTGTCTCACTGAGGTGAGAGTAGAGCATAGTCTAGCCCAGATGGTACCTGAGTAAGCCAGCAGAAGGCAGCTCCCTAGCAAGCCAGTGCAGGCCTTGGGGGTGACTGAATCAGCAGCAGTGACTTCTAGAGCTCTCAGCCCATAGATGGTAAGGGGGCCAGTCAACTGGTCAGAAGGAGATTACAGTGGACACTTTGCTGGCACTGGGTGCAGGAATCTGTTGCATTGCCCGCGTGCAATTCCAGGGCACACTTCCTGGGTAAGGAGGAGCACTAGAACACCAGAACTTATGCCTGCCTGGGAAGTGAGACCCCAGTTACAGTTCCAGGGCAGAAAAGAACATTTGTGGTCACTCACAGACCAGAGCACAGGCCAGCAGAGCAGTGAACATGCCTTTCCTTAGATCATACCACCTTGGAAGAACTGAAAACTTACAGACTCCCAGAGTTAGCTCTGAAAACAGCATCATAAAAAACATGAAGTATGGGACAGTGCCTTCTCCATGCCAAGAGCAGAACCCAACTTTAATGTAAAGTTAAAAATCATGAAATAGGCTGGGAAAATGACAAAAAACAAACAAACAAAAAGAACCTGACCATAGATAGCTGTTGTGATGACATAGAAGAGGACAACAATGTCTACATGATTATAGGTAAAGCCTCAAAGAAAAATTAGGGAGAACTGATGAATGAACCTACTGTTCCTTCTATCCTGGTGTGTTGGGAGAAATGTGAGGACTATCAAATACTATGGAGGAGAAATAGCAGCCTGAACCAGATTAAAATGTAATTAAGAAAATTTAACAAAATAAATAAAAAACACAGCAAAACATAGATAATTTTACATTCTAAAACTAAGTCAGTATGCAGTTGCCAGGGATCCTTATATATGGATTAGTGGTCCTCCTTTCTGAGTTCAATATCACTGTTGTAGAGAGTAGCTAAGTATGTAGTGTCTCCTGAGAGAAGCCAAATTTCCACTCTCTTTTTTTTTTGAGGCAATTGGGGTGAAGTGACTTGCCCAAGGTCACACAGCTAATAAGTGTCAAGTGTCTGAGGCCAGATTTGGACTCAGGTCCTCCAGACTCCAGAGATGGTGCCCTATCCACTGCACCACCTAGCTGCCCCTCAAATTTCCACTCTTACAAGGTGGTTTAAGGAGTGTGACAGGAAGAGATCTCATATAAAGGGAAATTTGTTAACAATAGAAGGGAATTACGGAAGGCACAATGGAAGGAGAAGGTAAAGTGGGATAGTAACTGAATGGGGTGGGCTGAAGTGGGTGGAGAAAAGGGAGCAGAAAATAGTAGCAAGAGTTTCCATTTAGGCATCTTTTATCTCTGAATCATAGGGATTCAAAGAGGAGGAGAAAGAAGAGAGGATTTGTTAGCCTTTCTTGGTATCCCCAGTGCTTAGCCCAGTGCCTGGCACATAGCAAGTGTTTAATAAATGCTCGTTGGTTTGACTTGACTTGAAATACACCTCTTTTCTCTTGCCACTGCCAATACTTTAACTCAGATTTTTATTACCTCTCACCTGAATTACTGTAATAGTCTCCTCACGTCTATTCCTGGTTATTCCTCTCTTTCTGCTCCAATCTTTCCTACACATTGCCAGTGTAATCTTTCTAATCTTCAGCAATGATCATGTTCAAAAGTATTACCTACTGAATAAAATATAAGCATCTTAGCCATCATTTGTCTGTTTCTACCCTATCATTCAGTGTTTTACCAAACTACGCTACTCACTAACTCTACTAAACTCATTCTGCACTACTTTGCCCACACATCAGTCTATACTTTTTGAAATAATGGCTAATTCTATGAAGCCTTCCCTGAGGGATTTTCTCATCCTCTGGGCTCTTATTACACTTCGTCAGCTCTTCTTTTATGCCTTTATCAAAATCTAATTAATTTGAATTATCTTTATTTATCTATATACCCTGCTAGCTATTTGATTACAAACTTCTTAAAGGTAGAGAATATGTTTTATTTATCCCCCTCAGCTCATAGAAAAATGCTTTGCTTGGAGTAGACAATTAAGATTTTTTCCCCCAGAAATTACATGAACTGATGCTGAGTGAAATGAGCAGAACCAGAAGAACACTGTACGCAATAACAGCCACATTGTGTGATGACCAACTCTGGTAGGCTTAGCTCTTCCCAGAAACACAATGATCTAAGACAATTCCAAAAGACTCGAGATGGAATATGCTATCCACATCCAGAGAAAGAACTATGGAGTCTGAATGCTATTGGAGTACACTATTTTCTTTCTTTTTTTCTTTCTCATGGTTTTTCCCTTCTCATGGTTTTTCCCTTTTGTTCTGATTCTTCTTTCACAACATGACTAATGTGGAAATAGATTTAATATGATCCAGATTGCATGCCATCTTGGGGAAGGGGGAGGGAGAAAAAAATTTGGAACTCAAAATCTTAAAAAAGTTAATGTTGAAAACAATCTTTACATGTAATTGGAAAAAATAAAATACTATTAAGGGAAAAAATTTTCTTTTCTGAATTGAACCAAAGATGAATTGGAATTAGAAGTAGGGATACTACTGGTCCTCTGTAGATATAACCCATCTATCTACCCCAGAGTTCCTGCTGGTCAAAGTCAAGGATCCCTGGCTAAGAGAGAGTGGTTACTAGCCCTAATAAGAAGACTAGAAAAGATGCTGAGGGCAGAGGATTGGATTATAAAGTCATGCAGATGTTCTGAGTGTGCTAGGTAGAGCCCTGAATAGGTTTAAGAAAGGACTAAAGGGGGTTGGCCCCAACAACAAGATACCAATTCAGTGTATTTACAGAATCCAACAGAATATGGTCCAGAGTATCCTTCCCTGCACAGTAAGTTCTGGTTCCTACATACATTCATGGTTTCTCTCTAATCATCCTTTGTACAAACAGTTCATCTGTTTATGTAGAAAAGAAACAGAGTGGAGAGACAGAAATATACCCGGCAGTCAAATGAATCTGTAGCCAAGAAAACTGGGGGAAAGAAGGTCTTGTGAGTGCCAAAGATATAGGAAGAGGTTTTGAAAAGCCAGGCAGTAAGAAAAAGAGAAATCAATATGTCCAAGGTGAGAGGAAAGGGAAGAGAAGAAAAACAAGAAGACAGATGATTGCCATGAGAAAAGCACAGAACCAGCTTGGTGTGGGATGACAATGAGCTTTGTGATTTAGGGAAGGCTCTTATTTGTGACTGTTTGATCTTTGCTCATTAGGGAGTGCACCTACCCAATGTGATAGAAGAAAAGCTCTACTGAAGTGTGAAGGAAACAAAGATCTAGAGAAAGAAGCAGTATGTGTTGTCGTGGGAAGAGATGGAGACTTGAAATCCAAAGGTCTGGATTCAAGTTTATGTTTAACCTCCCTAGGATTTAGCTTCCTTAACATGTAAAAAGGCCGTAAGGTTCAAATATCTAGAGAAGGGGCTCTTAACTTGGTATCTGAACTTTTAAAAAAAATGTATTTTGATAACTGTATTTTCATGTAATTGGTTTCCATTGGAATCTTATGAATGTGATTTTATGAATTTAAAAGCATTCTCCTGGTAAGAGAGTTCATAAGCTTCATCAGACTGCCAAATGGGTCCATGCCACAAAAATGGTTTAAGAACTCCTGCTGAAGGGAGCTTATAAGATTATCTGGTCCAACATTAAGTGACTTGCCCAGGGTCACACAGATAGTGAGTAAGAGAGCTGGTAATAGGAATATGTCATTGTCTCCTTTGTTTATCCCACACCTACTCCTACAACATAAATTTGGACATTCTACAAGCTTCAGTCATTCTCAATTTGCTCTTCTGAACTTATATTCCCTCTTTGTCATTGTCACTAACTCCCATGTCTTCAATCGTCACCTCTAACCAGATGCTCCTCAAAGTTTGACTCAGCCCTAACCTTTCTCAGTTACGACTCTGAGGTCTTTCAGTGTTGTCTCTCCTTATGTCATAGCAGTCAGTAGCAAATTTTCTCCTGGTTCTGTACAATTCACTCTGTATCAGTTCATACAAGTCTTTCTATATTTCTCTGAATCCATCATAGGCATGACTGCTTATGGTTTAATAAAATTCAGTTGCGTTCATGTACCATCACCTGTGCAACCATTTCCCAATCAGTGGGCAACTACTTTGTTTCTAGTTTTTGCCATGACAATAACTATGCTATAAATATTATTATACATATAAATCCTTTCCCTCTGGCACTAACTTACTTGGGATAAATATGTGATAGCAGTATCACTGGATCAAATGGTATGTGCAGTTTAGTGAATTTTGAGGTTGTAGTTCCAAATTGTTTCCCAGAATAGTTGGAGCAATTCAGAGCTCCACCAACCTCCCACTCATGAGCCTACCTGCCTACAACCCCTCCATCAATTCTTGTTTTCCTATTTTTTTATCTTTGCCAATCTGCTGGGTGTGAGGTAGAACCTCAGGGTCATTTACATTTGTATTGCTCTTATTATTCGTGACCTGAATCATTTTTTAACATTATCGCTTGTTGATAGCTTGCATTGCTTCATTTAAGAACTGCCTATTCATGCTTTTTAACAACTTATAAGTTATTTTTATATCACATTTATATATCTGTATATAATAATATATATTACACAGTGAAGACTGGCTCTTATTCTTATATATTTCTATCAATTCTTCATCTATCTTTTTTCTATCTTGGATGTTGGACCTTTATCAGAGAGATTTGTTGGGGAAATTATTCCAAAATAATTGTTTCCCTTTTGACTCTTATTTATTTATTTATTTGTTTGTTTGTTTATTTATTTTTTACAGAAGCTTTTCAGTTCATATACTTTAAAGGGTTTTATTCCATTCCTTATTAACATCTCTAACCCTTATTTGATAAGAATTTTCCCCCTTGCCATAAATGTGAAAAATATATCCTTCTTTTTTCCTCTATTTTTTTTTAAAGATAGGATCTATTTTAAGGCAATTTATTGCTTTGTAGTTCATTATAACATATGGTACAAGGATGCTGGCCTAACCCTAATTTCTGTCAGTTTACTTTCCAGTTTTCCCAGTAATTTTTATCAAAATGGAGGTCTTTTTACATAGTGGTTAGTGTCCCTGAACTCATCAAACATTATACTACTGTATGCAACTGTTTCATTTATTTACCTAATCTAGTCTTCATTTCTTATTGAGTAGTCATATTCTGTTATATTCATGTACCAGAGTTTGTTCAGCTCTTCTCCAGTTGATGGGTACTCATTTTGCTTCCAGTCCTTTAATATGACAAAAAGTGGTACAATTACCATTTGGGGATATGTAGAATCTTTCTTTGCATAGTTTCTTATCTTGTTTCAGTTTGATTTCCACTCCTTTCTCCATCCCCTAGTATCCTATAATCACTCTTATGCATCTTGCCAAAGTAATTGTCCTAAAATATAATTTCATTTTTATTTTTGGCTCAAAAACATCCAGTGCTTTTCCATTTGTTATTCAGTCATTTTAGTTGTGTCCAATTCTTCATGACCCCATTTGGGGTTTTCTTGACAAAGATACTGGAGTGGTTTGCCACTTCCTTCTCCACTTCATTTTACAGATGAGGAAACTGAAGTAAAAGGGTTAAGTGACTTGTCCAGGATCACACAGCTAGTAAGCGTCTGAGGCCAGATTTGAACTCAGGGAGAGGAGTCTTCCTGATTCTAGGCCATGTGTTCTATGCACTATGGCACCACCTAGCTGCCCCATGCTTTTCCATAACCCACATTAAAAAAAAAATCTAAATACCCTAACACTAGAATTCTTGAGGTCCTCTGCAGCAAAGGTAGCAAACTCAGTACCTTTGTGGCTAGCACAATTCCTAAATGTCCCAGAACCAGATTAAATATAATTAGGAAATGTTTAACAGAATAAATTAAAATGTAATACAACACAGATTTTGTTAGTGGTTTTCTAAGTCAACTTACAGCCTTCAGGGGCTAGTTTCTATTTGAGTTTGACCCACTGCTCTACAAAGCAGTCTCCACACATCTGTCCAACCTCATCTCACACAGCTCCCTCACAGGAATCCACTCATCCTTCCAACTATCCAGAGAAATCAGAATTCCTTGAAAAGCCTCTCCAGAATTTCTTGCTATGCAAACCTGCCTGGACGCCCCCTTTTCCTTGACCCATTTGAATCTTATTCTTCCCTCAAGGTGCAGCTCCAGTCCTCATGTCCTTCACGAAGCCCTCTTGGACCAGCTCAGCAAGAAGGTGAGGGGGGAAAGGATTTTGTGTGGGAGGTGATGGAGGAGAGGGATTTTTGCTCTAGGGAGATTAGAAGATCACCACATCACTGAGCTGGAAGAAACCTCAGAAGACATCTGGTTTAACTGACCACTAATCCCTCCTGCAACATCTCTGACAGGTGGTCACTAGCATTCCCTAGAAGACATTTAATGAAAGGGAACCTGCAGGCAGCCAGTACTATTTTGGGATAGCTCTAAATGGAGAAGACATTTTAATTTAGATAGAAACTAAATCTCCTTCCGTGAAACTCTCACCTACTGTTCCTCTTTGTTTTATTCCCTCTGTGACCAAACAGGACAAGTCTAATCCCCATAATGGCCAAATTCAGGCATGCCCCAGGAGGAGCTGGGTAAACACCATCACTGCTCTGTTTCTCTCTAATAAGATGTGAAATACTTTGTTCTGACACTGGCTCAGTTTTATGTACAGCTTATAAACCTGAACTAGAGTGTTGGGTTTAGCCTTTGAAAGACATTAAAAGATGAAGAAAAGAAAAATGAGGAGAGAGGCTAAACACAGAGGCAGACTTAGTTCTCTGGATAGAGACCTGTGTATTCTCTCTGGCTCCTTTAAGAACTAGGCTCCCCTAAAGGGGAAACCCAAAGCAAAATCACAGAGGCTCCTGAAATTGAACCAGTCCATGCGTGACAAAAAGTTTGGTAATGTCCCATATCCAGGGATACACTGGAATCAACTTGCACCTGCTCAGGACTGATGGTCACATTTTCAATGTGAGCATTTTACACCTTGGAGTTAGACAAAAAGCTACAGATCAGAGCTTGATTTACTGTTTTGTTCAATATCTAGTAATGGATAAAATAATGGAGAAAATTTTAATAATGCAGATTAAACTTAAATGTATCATGCATTTAAAAATATTATATTCCTCTTGTACACGTAGTTCAGCTATTTTCAGATGTGTCCAATTATTTTGTTACCCCATTTGGGGTTTTCTTGGCAAAGATATTGAAGAGGTTTACCATTTCCTTCTCCAGCTCATTTAACAGATGAAGAAACTGAAGCAAACAAAGTTAAGTGACTTGCCCAGGGTCACACAGTAAGTGTCTGAGGACAGATTTGAACTCAGGAAGATGAGCCTTCCTGACTGCAGCCTGGTGCTCTATGCACTATGGCGCCACCTAGCTGCCCACGTATGTGACAGTCCATCAAACATAAAGATAGTTGACATGTTCTTTCTATGTCTTTTCTGTCCCAAGATAAGCCATCCCTATTCTTGCAAAAAATCCTTGTATGACATCATCTGGAAGCCCTTTACCCATCATGGTCATCCTCCTGCGTTCACTTTCCATTTTATCAGTGTCCTTCCTAATGTGGCCCCTAGAACCAAATACAACACTCCAGATATCACCAACCAAGACAGAGTACAACAGGACATCCCCCTCCATCATTCTAGATACAGTACATCTCTTTATGTGGCCTAACATTGTCTGAGCTCTATGGGTAGCCATGTCATATTAATGATAATAATATCATATCATATATGTAATCATACCATAATGATTATAATGGTAATCATATTAATTAAATTAGTTCTAGGAGCTTCCAAATGCTGAGGCCACATGCCTATGGGTGTGACCAAAAATTTTGGCTCCCCTGGCAAGTAATACAAAAGGTTTCCTTAAGTCAGCTTTGTAACTCATGATGTAAAAATAATAGGGGAAGGGAATGAGTACCTCCTATGTGTCAAGCACCATGCAAAGTGCTTTATGCAAATATTATCTCATTTGATCCTCATAATAATCCTGTGAGCTGTTATTATCCCATTTTACAGTTGAGGAAACTGAGGCAGACAAAGGTTAAGTGACTTGCCAAGGTTCACACAGCTAGTAAGTGTCTTAGTCTGAATTTGAACTCAAATATTCCTGACATCCAGCTCATCACTCTTATCTACTGTGCCACTGGCTTCTATGCTTTTAAAGAATGCATACGTGGAATGTTTCTGCTTTTTAATACTTCAGCGCTCTGGAGAAAGGCTCTTATAACTCTTCCCCTCCTGTCGCTACTATTGCTCCTATTGGACAGAGGGAAGCCTAGGAATGGAAGAAAAGGAGACACCAGTGCAAAGCAGTCAGGGAAGGTGATTATAATTTGATTAACGGCTGAACAGCTGGGAGAGAGAAGTGGAAGAAATGGGAAATGCAGGATGGAGTACTGTTTTCAAGAGAGGGTTCTCTGGGAAGAATAGAATCCACAGAGCTTGATGGACCAGGTGAGGGGTAGGGCAAGTAAATCATGTGAGTAAATGATGAAGAGACAGGGCTGAGAGTGCTATCTTCCTTAGTGCTGGTCTAGAGAACAAAGGCTCTTTGGAGGCCTACCTATTTCTTTACAAAAATATCTATTTGCAAAGGGTGTTCTCCCCACCCCCCCCACCCCCACCCCCACCCCCTCTTGAATACATGTCAGGAAGACCCAGAGCCTTGACTTCACAATAAGGCATGCGGGGCTATGGAAGAGGCCAGAGTTGCAAGAGTATCTCAGCCCTATGGGGCTGTTCCTCTAACCTCTCATGACATGTTGGGAGAAAACATTGCGTAAGTGTATTCCTGACCTCCAGGAAATTGTGTAAGGTAAATGAAGTCAGGGAGGGGCAATGGGATTATTGGGTGGATTGTACAGCTTCCTTCCTGCAAGTCAGGCTTTTAAATTGGGACATAGAAGGACCCAAGAGCATGAAGAAGACAGAGCAAGCTCGTGAACTTGGAGTTGCCATCATGGGCCAAAAGTTCCTCTGGTGGGGTAAGTGTGAACCCAACAGACTTATCAGGCAGAGAACTTGGGTTGGGGTAGGAATTAGATGGAGGGGAGTAAGGATACTCTGTGGAAAGATTAAAAAATGAATATCATGTTCTCCTGTCTCTAGAGAGACTAATGGAATAATTGAACCAGAAGTTTCATTTTATATCATCTAGTTCAACCCTTTCCTTTTTATAGATAAGGAAAATTAAGCCCAAGAAATTGAAATCTCTCCTGCTCTTCTTGGGGGTAAAATAGAGAGATGTGGACTAGACCACAGTCATTAAGTAGATTCTGAATTGGCCCATGTTCTTCCTAGTACGACACCCCATGTATGTGCCTTTGGCCATGTGCTTTTGAATAGTTTAAAAATCAGGAACTTGAATGAAGGTATAGATGAAGTACTTATCAAATTTGCAAATGATACAAAACCGGAAAGGAGAGCTAATGCATTAGTTTAGGGGGAAGAGGGTCAGGATCCCAAAAGATTTTGACAGGCTAGAGCACTGAGCCAAATCTAATAATAGGAAATTTAATCGGGATAAATGTAAAGTCACAGGATCATAAAGCTAGATGGGCTTTTTTAGATAGTAATGGAGCAATGTCTGGAAAGTTTGTTCAGAGAACTGAGTTTCTTGTCTCTGTCTAGCAAAAGAGACAGCAGTAGTGGTCTGAGTCCTAGTGGAGGATGACCATTGGCTTGGCCTCCAGGAGAGGGGCTGAGAAAGATTGTGGCCCACTTTGGTTAGGGGCCACAGGATACAGGCTGCACACAGAGACTGAGAATGAGAAATGGGACAGAGAAAAAGCACAGAGAGTCTATGGGTCTCGGTTTCCTCATCTTTAAGATGAGAGAATTGGACCAGGTGAACACAATGGTCCCATCCAGCTCTAACGTTCTATGGCTCTGTCCTGAGACAGAAGGAACAAAGATGCCCTGCTTTGAATATCTTCTATCTTCATTGATAGTAAGGACTGGGAAGACTGTTGAATGTACTCAATTTACTAACCCTGGGTGAAACATACTTAATCCTAGCAGAGGGTGGGATCCTGAATATGAATTTACTTTGTACATGATGAAGAGACATAGCTTCTACTGTGCTAATGGGCCAGGTTTGGATGCTTTAGAGGCCACAGAGGTATGAGGCCCCTTGGTGGGCATGAGGATAGCTTCATAATTAGAAATTGCAAACCACCAAGTTCATTCATTCAGTAGGTGATTCTTGGGCATCTTCTGTGTGCTGAGTACAAGGCAAAGGACGTTAAGATCATTTGTAATTTTTAACAATGTACTTGGGAGAGGATGTCATCAAAATACCTATGGGATGGGGAAAGGAAAGGTAATTATGCTCACCCCAATTATGAGAAATAACAAGTTCTTCCTCCTCTTTCTTTTCTGTTGGGCTAGTGTATGCTTTTTACCCTACCTTCTCTTTTTCTTCTTAAAACCAGCAGAGCAAAACCAGTCCACTCCAGGTCCTTTTGTTTTCTCGTTTGACTCACTCAGTACCTTTTGAAAACATGAAGGTTATGAAGGAATGTTTCCTCCCTATTAGGAAGGAAATAAGCAATTATTAATCATCTACGTACCAGCAGGCGTTGTGCTAAGCACTTTACAAATATTGTCTCATTCCACCCTCACAATAACCCTGTGAATCAATGAAGCAAATGGTGCTTAAGTGACTTTTCCAGAGTCACACAGCTAGTGAGCGTCTGAGGCTAGATTATGTTAGGCAGTAGAACGTTAGCACTGAAACATCGTCCATGAAACATCCAGTTGTTCAAATAGATTTGTCTCTCTAGGTTTTTCTTGACTCACATTTGCATTTCAAAGTTTCTGCTTAGCTCTGGTCTTTTCATTAAGAATATCAAAAATCAGGGGCAGCTAGGTGGCACAGTGGATAGAGCACTGGCCCTGGATTCAGAAGGAGCTGAGCTCAAATTCAGCCTCAGAGACACTTCCTAGCTGAGTGACTCTGGGCAAGTCATTCAACCCTCATTGCCTCACTTGAAAAAAAAAAGTTAGACATTTTTCTATTCCAATGCAGGTCTATCTTTCCCCTGTAGGAGTATAATCAGCCATGATGGTAACTTATTTTTGGTTGTAAGCCTGTATATTTTGCCTTTGGAAATATTGCATTCCAAGATCTCTGTTAGGTCTTGTAGGATCCTGAGTATGATCCCCTGGTACCTAAATTTCTCCTTTCTGGATACTTGCAGTATTTTTTTCTTTTTCATGGAAATTCTGGATTTTGGCAGTGGTGTTTCTGGGACTTTAAATTTGGAGATTTCTTTCAGGAGACATTCAGTGGATTCTTTCAATCTGTACTTTGCCCTCTGGTTCTAATAGATTTTTTTACTAATTTTTTGAAATATAGTATCTATTTTTTAAAAATCATGACTCTCACTAAATCTGATGACTCTTAAATTAAGTCTACTGTTATTAAGTCAGTTGGTTTTAATACCAAATATCTTAAATTTTCTTTTGTTTTTTCCAGTCTTTTATTTTGTTCTAATATTTCTTCATATCTCAGAGAGTCACTGATTTCTTTTTGGTCCCTTCTAATTTTCAGAGAGTCCATTATGTAAGTAAAGTTTATTACTTTTTCTTCTAAACTACTTATTTTCTTTCAAATTCTTTCCTCCAAAACTCTTTTTTTTTTCAATCTTCCTTCATTTCTTCTGACTGGAAATGGACCCACTCTTTTAGCAGCTGGGCCATATGGTGTTGTTTCTGATTTTTCTTTTTTGGGGGGCCATATGTTAAGACCACTTTATGGCCTCTATGTTTTCAGTTTAAAATATAGCACCTAACTTTCTTCTTTTTAAACCTTCTTTTTAGTATACAGATCTACAAAGGCTCCCTCAGAACCTCCATTTGAAGCAAAGTACCCACACTAATCATGTCTTCATAGCTTTCCAGGTTCCACTCTTGACTCTCTAAACTTTCTCCTGCCCCCTCATCCCCCATCCCCCACTCCCCCATACACTTCCACCCTCTCACCTGTGCATGTACTTCTCCCTCTCCTCCCCCTTTTCAGGTGTCATCTTCCCCAGTTAGAATGTAAGCTTCTTGAAGGAAGGGATTAGCTTTCTTTTTTGCTTGTATTTTCATTCCCAGTGCCTGGCGTGTAGTAAGTACTTAATGCTTGTTGACTTGATTGTAGGAATATTCTCTTTTTGTAACACTCTGTTTTCAACTACATGATGATTTCTATTGATTCAGTCCCATTTTCCTTTCTTTCCTAGTGCCTGGACACTCTACCTTCTGCTTATGTCAGTATCTACTATTGACTTGTGGGATTTGGAGTTATTCTCTTCTTAGGGAAAGTGTAACTCTCCCCAGTGTTTTTTTTTTGTTTGTTTTCATTCATCATCTTTCTTCACAGCAGCTATTCAAATTACCCTGGCCAGGGCTGATTTATGAAAGATCTCCAAGAGGAGGACACAGGGTGGATTGAGGAAGGGATTGAAGTCCCCTCTGCAAAGAAATACAAAACAGGTGTTCCAATCCCTTATGTAACTATAATGTGGTAGGGTAGAAAAAGCCTTAAAGGGGAAGTCCAGAGATGGGGGCTACTAACTGAACTGGGATCTAAACCCAGGCCCTTCGCCTCTAAATAAAGCATTCTTTCCACTCTGCCACCAAGGAATGGGTTGCCATTTCCTTCTCCAGATCATAATACAGATGAAGAAGCTGAGGCAAACAGGACTAAGTGATTTATCCCAAGTCACGCAGCTAGTAAGTCTGCAGCCAAATTTGAACTTGTGTCTTTCTGACTCTAGGCCCACTTTTACCCAGCTGCGCTTGGACTAAGAGTGATGAGTAGAAGTAGAATATTGGACAATTTAGGCTTATTAGGAGAAAAAACCCAGAAAAAGAAAAACATCCTAAAAATCAGAGCTCTCCAAAGGTGTCTTAGTGGGTACCCCCGCCCCTCCTACCTTGTACTGGGAATCTCGCAGCAGCAATATTAGTAGTAGTAGTAGCAGTAGCAGCAGCAGCAGCAGTAATAGTAGTAGTAGTAGTAGTAGTAGTAGTAGTAGTAGTAGCAGTAGCAGCAGCAGTAATAGTAGTAGTAGTAGTAGTAGTAGTAGTAGTAGTAGTAGTAGTAGCAGCAGCAGCAGCAGCAGCAGCAGCAGTGCTGGTTTTTCATGATAAAGTAATTGGTATGTTGCTAATGTATAATTGGCATGTTGTGGCATGGTGTTAGTGTCCTTTTTCACGACAAAGTGCTAGCATGTAATTGATGCATCTTTAGCATGTAATTTGTATGTTGTTAGCGTGTTGGGTTTTTTTTTCCCATGATAAAGTGTTAGCATTAGCACCTGAAGTGTAGGGGCCCAACATGACAGGGAGCTTACATTTTTCTATATGAATTCAACTCATTCCCAGGTAAGGGGTATGAATGAAGGAAATGAGAAGAAAAGTCAGCTTGGCAGAGGTGGTGCTGCCAATCCTTAACTTCTCTTTCCCCTTGCAATTTCTAATTATGAAGCTATCCTCATGCCCACCAAGGGGCCTCGTACCTCTGTGGCCTCTAAAGCATCCAAACCTGGCCCATTAGCACAGTAGAAGCTATGGAGGCAGCCATTTGGGGAAGGACCACTCCCTTTCCCCTTATAACTCCTTGAGCTGCTACTATGCCATCTTTCTTTTCCCTTTTACTTCTAAATTTCTTAGGGGAAAGTCTACACCTGATAACTTCTACTTCATTCATTCATGCAGCCAATAATCTTCTACTCTTTCCTCAACCCTTTGTAATCTAATTTACATTGCCACTACTCTACTGAAACCACTCTTTCAAAGATCACCAGAGATTTTCTAATCATCAAGCCTAATTTTTTTTTCTTGCTTCAGCCATTTTTTGTGGCCATTGACCATCCTCTTCTTCTAGATATTTTCTTCTCCCTGGCTTCAGAAATGCCACTCTCCTAATTTACCTGCTACCTCTCTAGCCTCTCCTCTATGTCCTTTGCCAAGTATTTAGCCTCTTTTTTCAACCCTTTAAGATGTGTGTTCTCCTAGGATTTGTCTCTGGGCTTCTTCAACCATTTCTCTCTACTCTCCACTTTGATAATCTCACCCTTTTCCACAGGTTCAGATGCCATCTCTATGCTGATATGTAGCAGGCATTTAATGAATATTTTTTGCCTTTTGCATAAAATACTCAGGCTAATCCAGGAGTGGAAGCCAGACCTTTCCCTATGAATGGGAGGGTTCCCATGGCCAGCTCCCTGTGCATGGGAGTTGTCCTTTCCCAACATGGTTGGGTGTTAGTCAGGCTAGAAGAGATGAATAGCATCCATTGTCCAAAAATAAATGGTGCTGGTTCCCTCTTCCCACTATTCTCCCAGGAACAGAGTTCAAGGAAGGAGCTTGCTTCCCTAGTAATTAGAAAGAAAAAAACTGTGGCTTCCCTCTCCCTGGCTTGCTTCCATTTCCTCATATGCCGACAGGTTTCTCAGGCTAAATGATTCCTTCCCCATCCCCACGAGCAATCTGAACTCATTTGTGGAAAATCAGATTCTGCAATAGATATTAGAAGGTACTCAGACCTCTGCTGTTCTATCAACTTTCAGGAAATATGAAGCAAATAGAGATGATGTCAGCCCCAGGGAGGAGACGCACCATTTGCACCTAGTTAGAAAAGCATCCTTGGTTAGGACTTAATTGAATGCTTCCAAGGTTGCAGTGGCCCAGGGCATCTGAGGATCTAAGGTCTGGGGTACTTTTGCTGAGATCAGAAAGTCCTTAGAGGAGCTGAGAATGACTGCAGCTGAGTGTGTTGGGAAGTCTTGTCATAGTGGTGGGTCATACCATGGAGGAAGGTTCATCTCTGGACTTATAAACATGCCCTTTCTGGTCTTCTCTTCTGCAGGTTTTGTGGCCTTGATGCTACTTCAGGGTGGTAAGTGGTGATTCTGTTACGTATCTTGCACTGGCTTTCTGGGTCTGGCATAAGGGGTAGAGGGATAAACTTGGAGTGAGGAAGACCAAAATTCAAATTCTCCTAGTTGTGCTTCTCATTTAAGTTCTCCTAGCCTCAGTTTCTTCATCTAGACTATGAGGATTATGATGGCACCTACCTCACTGAGTCGCTGAAAGGATAAAAAGAGATAATATATGTAAACCACTTTGCAAACCTCAAAGCACTATATAAATACTAGTGATGATGATGATGATGGTGATGATGATGATGATGATGGTGATGATGATGATGGTGGTGGTGATGATGATGGTGATGATGATGATGGTGGTGGTGATGATGATGATGATGTTGGCGGTGGTGATGTCCCTTTTTCTGCCTCTGCCCCTTGGCCTCTTTCTACTTCTCTCTTTCTATATGTCTCTACTCCTGTGCTTCACTCTTTCTTTGTCTGTATTTCTTCATCAATGTCTGTCTCTCTACTGGCTGTCACCCCTATTCATCCAGCAAGCATTCCTGGAGCATTTACAATGTGCCATACACTGAGATCTAGCTGTGTCTGTGTTTCTTTGTGTTGTGTTCTCTGTCTCTGGCTATGCCACTATCTTCAGAAAGGAAGTCAGATGTGTCAGAGCCAAGACTCAAAGCCAATTCTTCCTGGCTTTGAAGCTTGCCCTGTAGCCACTATGGAACACTAATTCTCAACACTATGATATAAGTTGGCAGAAATCTAACGGTACTTTAGGCTGAATGAACAGGGGAATGGTGTCTAGGACCAAGGTTGTTATAATCCTGCCATAGTCTTCTCTACCCAGGCCAAATCTGCAGTATTGCGCTCCTTCCTGGTGCCACATTACTGGCAAAGGAAAAGTTTAGGCAAGGTGGAACCTCTTTAGAGGAGGGTGACTAGGATGGAGTGTGTGGGAGGGACTAGAAACCATGCCAATAAGAGGAATGGTTGAAATAACTGGGGATGTTTAGCCTGGAAAAGTGAAGGCAATGGGGATATAATAGTTGTCTTGAAGTTCTGGCCATTAGAGAAGGTATTGTACCTATTCCACTTGGTCCCAAAGGGCAGAACTAAGAACAGCGGAGCAGGAGGGACGAGGGACTAGAAAGCAGATTCTGGCTGGACGTAAGCAAACACTCCTAATAATTGGAGCTATTGGAGAATGAACCGAAGTAGTAAGTTCCTCATTGTATTGAAGCTCTCCAAGTAGTGGCTGGTTTATCATTTGTATGGAACATTGTAGACGAGGTTCCTATTAAGATACGGGTTAGACTGCAGGATTTCTGAGATTCCTTCCAACTTGGAGACTTTGTCATTGGTCTAAGGAAGAATCTAGCAGCTGACCAGATCCTACCATTGGTTTCATGAACTCTCCTTTCTCCTTTACAGGCTGTGCCTACAAGCTGGTTTGCTACTTCACCAACTGGGCCCAGTACCGAGCTGGGCTGGGATATTTCGTTCCTGATACCATTGACCCACACCTATGTACCCACCTCATCTACTCCTTTGCCAATATTAGCAACAACAAAATCACCTCTGAGGAGTGGAATGATGTCACCCTATATCACACCTTCAATGATCTCAAGAAAAGGCTAGTGGGATGAGGAGGAGCATAAATGGGGTGTGGGGTGGGTGTCTAAAGCCATCGGATTAGGTATACCCATTTGGGGTTGATCTAGAGCCTTGCCTGCCCATCTGAGGCAGGGTGGGAGGAAGATGGGAGAGCCTTGATACTGGGATTCCTGTGTCATACAGGGGGTGGGGGTGGGGAGTAGGGCAGAAAAGGTGAGAGAGGAATGCTTCTCTCTCTCATTTCTCCTGGGAGGCCTGGTTTAGACAAAATTGTGGCGTGCGTAAGGGGTTATCTCCGTCATCTACTATTTTCCTTCACCTCTCTTTTCAAGTCCCATGCTTAGTGTCCTTACGCTGACCCCAGCTGCTCAGGACACACACCCCCAACTCTAATTCTAGCCAAGACTGCTCTCTCCTTCAGCACCTCATGTGCCTTTCCCCACTTCTCCATTAAAATCTGCTTGTCCTTCACCCCAGTCCCTCAAAACCACAGTCGAGTGTCTAATCCCTGCTAATAGGACAGTGGATGGGGATGACTTAGTGCTTCTTCTCCTAAGTCATTATGAGAAGAAGCTATTAAAGACATTACTGAAAAGACACAGGTAGCCCTAAAGAAATCTGTGTCTCGGTCAGCTGCTGTGGCCATGACAGTGTGGCCTGTGGATAAACTAGGCCCAGCTCGGTACATCTGGCTTACGCCATCTCAGCAAGGAGTCGCTTTCAATTCTGGAGCTAAGCAAAGAGTTATTTGGTTGTTCCAAATGCAGAAAGATCCAGTGGATCATCCAAGAGTCAACATTAATCAGAAAGTCGCATGTTAATGAGGATCTTCTAGAAACACAATGTCTGAATTCAAAGAAGTGTTTCTAAGGGTAAAGATTTGGGGCGCCACAACAACATGGTAATGTAGCCCTCAGTGAATCAAACTCATTTTCCCTCCATTGCAGAAATCCCAATCTGAAAACTCTTCTGTCCATTGGCGGTGCCAAGTTTGGGTCCAAAGGGTAAGCACGTAGCTCCTATCATTTATTTCAAGCAGTCAACAAATGTTTATGAAGCTGGTACTATATGCCAAGTCTTGTGCTAATCTCTGGGGATACAAAGAAAAAGTAAAAATAGTGCCTGCCCTCAAGGAGATTATATTCTAATGGATTAGATATATTAATTCCCCTAGTGAGGGGTAGGCATTGTCTCAGCCAACCCAGTTCTGTATCTTTGGGGTTTTCCGAAGGGTAGGTGACATTTATATTACAAATCTTAAGGTTTACAAAGCTTTCTACATACATTGTTTCATAGCAACCGTGTGAGGAAAATATTACAATAATTGTCTGCATTTTACAGATGAAGAAACTGAGGCTAGAAGAGATTAAGTGAGAACTATGGTTACCCACTTAGGATGTCTCAGAGGGAGGATTTGAATACAGGTCTTCTAGACTTTCATCATATGTAGAAAACCAGCTTTAGCACCAGGAAGTTAAGAATTCAAGTCCTGCATTTAACATATACTGGCTGTCTCTGGACAAGTCACTAGCGAGGTTACTCTCAATGCTCTAAATAGCTCTCTATGATGACAAATTGCAGAGAAGTGGCTGACCAGCATTGACAAAAGGATTTTGTTATCCCGATAATTTCTATACTAATGAAATCACAGGTCTAGTCCCTATGCCTTCCTGACACTATGTATAGTAGAAAGAGTATTGGACCTCCAGCTAGGCTACCTGGAGTTCAGATCTTATCTCCAACACTTACTAGCTGGGTGCCCAAGGCCAAATCCCTTAACTTTTCAGTTTCTTCACTGGTAAAACAGGAATAGTACCTATGTCATAGGGTTGTTGTGAAGATCAGATGAAATAATGTAGGCAAAATCCTTTGTAAACTTGGAAGTAATATATATGTATATAACACATACACGCACATACATATGTGTATATACCAGCTATTATCAAAGAGTGGAGGAGGTTGCAAGTCAAAGGATAAACGAGTGAATTATTACACATTTATTATGTACCAAGAACTCTGCCTAGGATGTAAACAAAAAGTTTTAAATTGTCCCTGCCCTCAAGGAGCTTACATTCTAATCTGTGGAGATCACACATAGAGGGGAGTGGTGTCCAGAGAAACCTGTTTTGATTTAGACTCTAGGAAATCATAGGGATGCAATAGTCAGTCATGACTTTGACAGCCTTTTACAGAGAAAATGGTAGTGTTGATTTGATTATAGTTCTTGGAGCAAGAGGTGGAAAAGGAGTGAGGCACAGAAAATGGTTGAAGCGGGGATGCTGATACATGAGCCCATGGAGTTCAGACTTGAGTGGTTTTTGCTCTGCTCAGGCATAGTTTCTGAAGGTCCGGTTTAGATGATATTTGAGACTGCCATTGTGAGCTTCCATAGACTCTGGGGTAACATGTTGTACTGGTCTTCTTACCAGTTCTTTCCAAAAGACATCAGACTTGTTTCTACCAGGTTTCATCCCATGGTGGATTCTTCTGAATCACGATCAACATTTATCAACTCTGTGATCCCGTTCCTGAGGCACAATGGCTTCAATGGGCTGGATGTAGACTGGATCTACCCTGAGCTGAATGAAAAGCCTTTTTTTGCTTCTCTGATTCACGTATGAATGCCACAAGTCCCATGGAGTAGCTGGTCCATTCTCCCATATTGGGTGTAGAGTCCCACACTGGTTATTACAGAAAGGAGGAACCCTGATCCTCAGTGGCTGGCATCTTTCAGTCTATTGGAGAAAACCCAGGCCCCTGACTCTTGGTATGATGGAGCAGAATAGGTCCTCTCTTTGGCCAGCTCTCAGAACAATAGAGGGATATAGTCTGAGTCCTTAAGGGCTAAGGAGAGGGATGTTATGAATCATGTGGGGCTGAATGAAAAGTAGCCCTCTTAATCCTTTCCTAGGCACAAGAAGCTTGGGGCAGAATCTGTACTAATTCTTGAAGGGCCTCAGGAGGCTGGGGATGGGTGACCCACATGGGTGGCATTAGGGGACTGTCCTTTCCTAACCAATAAGATTCCTGGTTTCCTAAGGCTTTCTCAGGAAAGGAGAATATTTGCTTTGTGGCATTTCCCAAGGCCCAGGCTAGAGTTTTGTTCTCAAATTCTGACACTTAGGCATCTCTCTTCTTATGTCCTTTAGGAGTTAGCTGTTGCCTTTCAGGAAGAGGCCAAAAATTCTAGGAAGGAGAAGCTTCTCTTGTCTGCGGGAGTGGCTGCAGGAAGGCAGAAAATTGATAACAGCTATGAGATTAAAGACCTGGCAAAGTGAGGATAACTGGAGTCATCTGAGCTACTCCTCTGCCTTTAATACAGTTTGGCCAAATGATCTATGATCCATGGGATGTGACAAAGAGGAGGATACTTCCTCTTTTTAAAGATTTCTCTAGAAGACCTTCTTTAATCACCTGTCCAGACCCCAAACTCTTCATTCTCAGAAAGTTTTTCCTTGTATCAAACCCCAATCCCTCACGCTGTATCTTAAATTTAATATTCATGATCCTTATAGCTTCTTATGGATTCTCAGAAAATTTTTTTTAATTTCCTTTGCTCTCTGGATTCTATAGTGATGTGGATTTCATCAACCTCCTGTCCTTCGACTTCCATGGATTCTGGGACAATCCCCTCGTTACTGGCCACAACAGCCCTCTGAGCAAAGGGAGCCAGGACCAGAGGAACAGTGCTTACTATAATGTGGTAGGACTAAAGAGCTGAAAAGGATGGTCAAAGGAGAGGGACTTTTTTTTAAGCACAGTCTTTATTAATCGTTATACAATATACATTATGAGCGCTAGTATAGAAATATGATTCACAAATATATCATTTACATATGATATTTGAAAATTCACAGTTTCCTCTTAATTTCCCCTTCAAGTGACAAATATGATTTATAAATATATCATTTATATATGGAACAGCTAGGTGGCACAATGGATAGGATGCTGGGCCTGGAGTCAGGAAGACTCATCTTTTTATTAGCTGTGTGACCTTAGACAAGTCACTTAACCCTGTTTGCCTTGGTTTCTTGATCTGTCAAATGAGCTGGAGAAGGAAATGGCAAATCCCTCTAGTATCTTTGCCAAGAAAGCCCTAAATGGGGTCACAAAAAGTCAGATACGACTGAACATTCATATATGATATATAAAAGTTCACAGTCCTCCTTATGTTTTCCTCTTCAAATGAGAAATATTATATATAAATATATCATTTGTATATCAGATATAGATATGCATTATCTATATCTGATATACAAATGATATATTTATATATCTATCTGATATAAAAAATTATATGTTATATATATATACATATATACATATACATACATATATATATACATATATATATATATATACATATATATATATATGTATATATATATATATATGTATATATATATATATATATACATACACATAAAGCTTTGAATGGAGAATCAATAAAACTGCAGCTAGAGAGGGACAGAGGATACTGGCCAGTCAAGTGTCATGAGCTCCTTATCTCAGGAAAGAAGGAAAAATTTATTAAATGTTTATCATGTTCTAGGCACTTTAAAAATATTATCTTGTTTAGTCCTTACAACAACCCTGGAATGTAGGTGCTATTATTATCCTCATTTTACAAAGGAGGAAACTGAGGCAGATGGTCACATAGCTAGGCTAGATAGAATTTGAACTCAGGTCTTCCTGACTCCAGGCCTGGTGCTCCATCCACTGCGTCACCTAATTGCCTCTTCACAATTGGGCCTATGACAAAACTAGCCATCATCTTCACCAAACGGCAGAGTATGTGCCGGCTCGTTCTTCATTTCCCAATTTGAACATCCCATCCTGACCCACCTGTACTAAGTAACAATCATTCCTAACCTCATTCCATCTTTAATTCCAACCCTTACTAAGTACGCATCTTTTACATCACATTGACAAAAGAAGTGGGCATCTTTTATCTGAGGTGATTAAAATGATAACCCTTTAACATAAGCAAAAGAGGGATATCTATACTTGACAGTGAGTAAATTGATTTATCCAAGGTAGACATATAGACATATAAAGGCCTGGGAGAGGTGGTAAAGGCTGGGGAAAACCCCATGCCTTTTAACCTTAACCTCATCCCACCTTAACCCTGTTGTTTTCAGAATATGAAAATTTTATTTTCCTGAGAATTTTTTTGGGGGCAGAAGGCAAATATTTTTTTTTTCTGAAAAATTTTCCAGGCCTTCACATCTTTCTTCATTTGGATTGTCAGCTTGAGAAATGATGCCAGAATTGATTTATGTCTTCCCTGCTCCTACTATGTTCCTGTCTGATCTCAGTTTAGTGCAGTATAAGGAGTATTGGATCTATAATTGTGAGATCTGGGTTCAGATTCTGACTCTGGTTTTTACTCCCTGTGTGACTCTGGGCAGGCCACTTTGGCTCCCTGTGGGTTCATTTCTATATCTAAAATCTGCATTTGAAAAACATCACTGAATGAAGTAACCTCCAAGGGCCTTTCCCAGCCCCGAGTCTTATGATTCAGAGTGTTTTCCACTGTAGGGGACTCCCCCACGTCAGGTACCTACCCTCCCACTTCCCATCAGTTCACATAATTCATTCAACAAAAATTTCATGAGCACTCACTGTGTGTGAGGAACTGGGAGAATGGAGAATGGGTCCCATCTCACAATTCCTTTCTGGCCTCCACTGTAGCCCAAAGAGGAAAAAAAAGTTCCAAGTTAGCCTCTCTTCTATGCTAACCTGTTAAAGTGGGTGACTCTTTTTGGAGACCAGAGAATAATTTGTTCCATTCCATCCCTATCCCCAAGACAAATGTCACAATCAGTCAATACAAAGAAGATGAGATGAAATTGGCAGCCTTGGTGACAAAGACCTATAGGGCTGGTTTTCTAATTTCTTCTTAAATTCCCTGCCTAATTTTTTTTAATTTTTAAAAATTCATCCATTCATCCATTCATTCATTTTAAAAATAACACCCTAGTTTCTTTAGGGCCAGAGAATCACATATGAAGGCCAATGAGTGACTTATTGCCAGGGATCAGAGCACACCCTTTGCCCTCCCCAAATAAAACTGTCTTTGTGCCCCAGTGATAAAGAAGCTGCATCTAGACCAGAAAAGGACAGATGTGTTGGATCTCAATGAGTCGGGGTGGAGGCAGAGACACACTAGGTCCCTCCATTTCTCTCCACACTTAGGGTTTGGCTCAGTCTCAGTTTGCCTTCCCTCTGCAGGAATATGCTGCAAACTACTGGAAGAAACAGGGCATGCCAGGGGAGAAGATCATCATGGGCATCCCTCTGTATGGCCGCTCCTTCACCCTCTCCACACCCGCATCTAACTCAGGTGTGGGGGCCCCCGCCAATGGTGCTGGAACTCCTGGACAATTCACGGCAGAAGGAGGCTTCTTGGCCTATTATGAGGTACCCAAGAATTTTCACCTGCTCTAGGCTTCGTGCCACTTTACAGTCAAGCTCAGAGTAGAGAGAGGAAATAAATCCCCAGGAAGCCAATCTGCTTAGTGAGCTCCAAGACTCAGGCCATTGGTAATCTACGCTGGTCTGTGGATGGGAGTGGGAGGAGGGAGTCCCTTACTACCTTTCAATCTTTCCTAGAATATGTACAAGTGGAGATGGCTCTGGAGGTCAACGAATCAATCACTGAATAAACATTGAGAACCTACTATGTATAAGTCATGGTACTTGCCACAAGGATGAATAAGACAATCCTTGCCTTCTCTGACCTTGTGGTACAGCTGGGAAGACAGAACATGACTGATTCTGTTCAGACTCAAAGGGTTGCACTAGGAGCTATGGGTAGAAGGTGTTGATTCAGATTTCAGTGGCTACAAGGGAAAACTTAACAGTGAGAGCCCATCCAAAAAAATAGAATGAATGGTCTTGGATGGATCTCCTTCACTAGCCGACTTCAGGTGGCCCCTTGTTGGGAATTCTATAGCCAGGTGGCCTTGCTTAGGTATAGGACAATGTTTCAGAGCACAGTCTTTTAGCCTTTTTTGTGTCATGGGTCCTTTGGGAGTCTGGTGAAGCCTCGAGGTTACTTCTCAAAAGAATATAAATGCACAAAATGAAATTCATCAGATTACAAAGGAAACCAATTATCAAAATATTTAAACAAAACAAATCCACAGATCCCCCTGAAATCTATCCAGTGATTATCTGTGGACACCAGGCTAAGCATCTCTGGCTTAGAAGATTCCAGGGCTAACTGCTTTCTCCACCCCTCTTCCTACCTCCTCCCCATTCTCTTAGGTATGCCAGTTCCTCGAAGGTGCCACAGTCAAAAAAATCCCAGAACAGCAGGTCCCCTATGCCGTCAAGGGCAACCAGTGGGTTGGCTTTGATGATGTGGAGAGTGTGAAAACCAAGGTAAGCGTGACCAAGGTGTTGGGGACAATGAGAGAACCCTGGCTACACTCAGGACACAAAGAAAGGAGGCATAGAAGCCTCCAGGTGGCTCTAGGATGAAGTTCCAGTGGTTTCTTTAGGCTAAGGTCAATAATGAGGCTAAAAAAGTCCTCTGAGGACCTGAGGCATAGAAGATTGAAAGGGAGGGAAGGGAAATAAGAAAGAGAAGAGCAGAGTAAGGGAGGAAGAAAGTAGAAATGAAAGAGGGAAAGAAAGAAAGGAAAAAAAGAAGGAAGGGAAGCAGAAAGGAAGTCAACAAAGATGGAAAGGAGCAAAGACACAAGGAAGAAAAAAAAGGAAAGAAGGAAGTCAGGAAAGAGGAAAAGAAAAAAGAAGGAAGGAAACAAAGAAGAAGAGAAAGAAGCAAAAAAGAAAGGAAACAAAGAAAGAAAAAAGAAGAAAAAAGGAAGGAAGGAGGGGGAGATGGAAGGAAGGAATGAAGGAAGAAAGCAAGGAAGAAGGAAACAAGCAAGCAAAGATGTAAGGAATGGAGGAAGAAAGCAAAGAAAGAAGGAAGGAGAAGAAAGCATGGTTGGCATCACCCATCTGTCCATCTCTAAGGCCACTGTAATTGAAGCAGTCCCCTTTCTATGGTCCATGGTCCCAGAGTCCTAAGTACTTTGAGATCCCCTGGGAATCCTGGTGTCTGTGTCTCTTCAATTATTCCATGAGCATTGTTGTGTAGGGGAGAAAGTGAGGGAAAGAAATGAAGGTATTTACCCTGTCTTCTAAGAATGTAGGGTCTGTGGGCTCCCTCAGTTTCTCCTTCCTACCAGGAAGTCCTTTTCTCTGTCTAATCTAAATGTTTGCTACTAAATCATCTGGACCAGAGTCCATTTTGAGCCATTTCCAGAGACCTAGGAGGACCACTAGGTGCTCTGTTCAGCCTCCCTGCCACATCCCTGTGTATTTCCTTCAGGTCCAGTATTTGAAGAATGCAAGATTGGGAGGGGCCATGATTTGGTCCATTGACTTGGATGACTTTACTGGTAAATTCTGCAAAAAGGGTTCATTTCCACTCCTCCAGGCAATCAAGAAGACGCTGGACTCTGCCAATAAAGGTATTGGAAAAGGGAAGGAATAGTCGCCCATTAGAGGTAGTTATGTGAAGTGGGAAAGGCTCTGGACTTTGAGTCAGAAGACCTGAATTCAAATCCCAACTTTGTTGAATACTAGCTGTGTAAATTTGTTCCTCTCAAACTAAGTTTGTTTGTCTAAAATGAGGAAGTTATACTTGATGCCTTCAAAGGTCCTTTTGTGTTCTGACATTCTATTATAGTACAAGATTGGAGGGATGATATACAGATACATTTGGGTGTTTGCATTGTTGGGCTTCTAGGTGGCGTAATAGTACATACAGCGCCAAGCCTGGAGTTGGGAAGACTCCTCTTCATGAGTTCAAATCTAGTCTCAGACACTTCCTAGCTGTATGGCCCTGGGCAAGTCACTTGACCTTGTTTGCCTCAGTTTCTTCATCTGTAAAATGAGCTGGAGAATGAAATGGCAAACACCTCCGGTACCTTTGCCAAGAAGATTGCAAATGGGGTCATGAAGAATGGGACATGACTGAAAACAACTGAACAACAACAACATTTGCATTGTTATAAAGATACTCATTCTATTACTTCTCCTTTCTGTCCCAGGGAAGTTCTTCTAGACCCTGTTCTGATCTCTGATTCTCTCAGGGTTAACAAACAAACAAAAACTAAGCTAAACCAAAACCCGAGCCCTCTGATAGCAGGGCTTGATGAGCCATTCCCCAGATTCCAATAGGCTTGTGTCCTTGTTTCAAGAGCAGAGGGTCTTGGTTTTGACTGTTCTCTTTTCTTTTTATTCACAGTTTAAACTAGAAACTGAACACCCGGCATTCCTCCATCTTGGCAGTGCTCACAGATGGATGCCCTAAAGCCGTGGGTATCCTTGCCTTCCTACCCACTCCACTAGACAGCCTCACTTCATTCTCAAGCTGCTGAACAAATAAAATAGAAATGCTTCTACCTAAGCAAACTGAGTGCTGCCATTCTACCCTTACAATAGCATTCTGTCTTCACATTCAGACAGTCCCAAACCTATTGGGGCTCGTCACCCCACCTCCTAATTTGAGACCAAACTGTACTTTTCTCATTATCTCACCCAACCTCCTACTTCCACCTCTGCTTTTCTGAAACATCATCCTGCAAGACTAGGAGACATTTTCCTGGCATATCCATCACTGATTACAGAAAGTCTTTTGCTTTCTTCTGCCCAAGGCTTGGGGGTGGACTCGAGAAAGAAAAAACCAACATAATTTGCTTCCTAATGGCCACATAGAGACCAGTGATCAGCTCAATGAAGCTCAAGAAATCACTGGAGTCTATTCCTTGGGCCCTGGACTCAGAAATCTGCGGTAAATAGAGATAAATATAGATGGCCAGATGGGTGATGCCAACTGTGAGGTGCAGTAAAACAGACAGTTGTAGAAACAAGAGAGCTGCCCCTACCAGCCCCTGCTTAGAACAGGGGCAAGTAACTAGTGGTATTAGTAGTGCTCCAGAGAAGTCCCTGAGATTAAGAAGGAGAGGACTTCAATGCTCACTGCCATGATCACCACTTTTCTCTCTCATTCTCTTCTTTCTTTCTCTCTTTTACTTTTTCCTCACACACAAGGCATTTACCTTGCAAACATCCTGGAGCAGATAATGAAACTAGAAGGAAAGAATCAGTATTTGACTTAGAATTCTGACCTGACCTTTTCTTCCAGTCTCACCACCCTGAAGAGGCCCCAAAATCATTGTTCATGGGAATAGGGGGTCTTCCCAAAGGGTGACAAACCTGATTCTTAGAGGCAGTGGTGGTGGTGATAACCAGTGATAGGGCAAAGAATGGAAGAGCTACTTGACATGAAACATTCACAAGACTGATCAGTCAGTCAACAAGCTTTTATTATTTATTATGTCAGGTTGGGTATACAAAGAAAAGCTAAAACAACCCCTGCCCTCAAAATGCTCACATTCTAATGGAGATGATGACATGTAAGTAACAAAATACATAGAAAGTAGATGGACAGTAATCTCAGAATGTAGTTACTACCAGCTTAGGGGACTGGGATCCTATTCTGGCTGATCCCCAATAAGTTTAAGTTAGACTCCATCTGAGTCAGGGGCCCTGGATAAGGGAAATTAAGGACAAGCAGGTATTTAGGGGCCAGGAATAAAAATAGCCTTGGTGTTACCCATTGGTTCTGAGTCATCAAAGATCTTTAAGATTCTGGAAATATGAGGTACATTGCAATGGCCTTCAAGGACTTTGATTTCTAGTTAACGGGTCTGGGCCAGAGATCTCAAACCAAGAGATCTTGAAACTTGGTAGATTTCTGAGCTGGTTGCTATTGGCTTCTCTCCCTCCTGGGAATTCTTTCAAACTCCAAAAAAAAAAAGGGGAGATATAGAAGCAGCAACTGGTTTGGGAGGTGTTTGGATGAGGCTTTGAAACTGATTAGTAGAATCTGATTTCCCAACTGGGGACGGGCTTTGGCAGATGGGAGCCAGACAGGGATAATGAGGCAAGATGTGGTTATAACCAGCAGCTGAAACCAAGAATAGAAGTGACAAATGGAAGAAACACCATGTTTCAGTCAAACTAGGGCAACAGAGGCCAATGGGTCATGTTGTACATATAAAATCAGGCAGCAGAAAAGATTCAGGGTGAAAGAATACAGAGGTCATCTAATTTCAACCTTCCAACCTGTGATGACATTGAGAAGTAGAAGTGGGGAAGTCACTGAGTACATGTCCTGCACTCCCCACAGCACCGCCATCTCAGATACTTCAATAGCCCCTCGCCTCTCTCCCTCATTCTTCCCCATTCCTACCCCTCCATTACCGCTGCACACTTGAGACTTCTAGGCCTTTCTATCCACCTGAAGCAGGACTTGCTTTTATATATTGTCTCTCCCAATTAGAATGAGAGCTCCTGATAACAGGGACTGCCTTGTTTTTTTTTTTCTTTCTTTTCTCTGTATTTTTAAGTAAGTTTTTATTGGCCCTTTTTTTTTTTAAAGATTGTTATAAGTTTCCCTAGTATCCCTTGCTTGTCCTCTCCTAGAGTCATGCCATATAACAAAGAGTAATTTTTTCTGGCTAGGCAATGGGGTTAAGTGACTTGCCCAGGGTCACACAGCTAATAGGTATTATGTGTCAGAGGCCAGATTTGAGCTTAGGTCCTCCCGACTCCAGGACTGGTGCTCTATCTGCTACGCCACCTAGCTGCCCCAAAGAGTATTTTTTAATAACAAAAAAAAGGAAGAAAAAGAAGAGAAAGACATCTGATCAATACATTGGGAAAAGTCTGGAAAATACGTGCAGACCTTCCAGCTCTGCAAAGGGTTTGGGGGGTTGGTGAGTATCATCCCATATCTCATTGGTTTAGCTGTTCTTTTTTGTTTTAAATAACTTTCCAATACTCCCTTTGGTTTGTGTGTGATTATTTCCATTTCCATTGCTGTAATCATGTCTAGCTTTTTTCCCTTTTTCTACCCCCAGCTCTTGGAACATAGGAGGTGCATAATAAATGCTTTTTCATTCATCAATTAGTTCAGTCAGTCATTCACAGACAGGAACAAGGCTGATGGTATCATGAAGAGCAAAAGTTGGCCACTGTTGTAAATGCCAGAGTAGACACTTGAGTGTGGATCTCAGGGTTCGATTAAAATTAACAAAGAGTTAGTAGTTGCCTATTGTTCAAGGCAAGGTGCTAAGCTGTAGGAATACAAACATAGAAAGAAAAAATTGTCCCTGTCCTCAAGGAGCTTGGTTCTACTAGGGAATGCTGCAGGAAAACAGATAAGTTAATTCAAGATAAATTGAAGAGAGAGTGCTAACAATTATGGGGATGAGGAAAGGCTTCCTACAGGAGGCAGCGGTCAGAGCAGTTAATTGTGTAATACAGCATCTAGACATCCTTTGTAGAGAAAAGCCCTTCAGAAGCTTAGATCTGCCTGAAATCTCTGCCCTATTAAGCATCGACCTAAATCCCTAAAGGTCCATTACTCTTCAGTCTACTCACATTATCATGAAATTACCTTGAGACTAAAGTTTGTTCCATTCTTTATATTTGTATACTCAGAACATTCAGATTTGTGTTCTGGCCCATAGTAGGCACTTAATAAATGTTGATTGATTGATGAGTGAAATGAAAAGGCTCTCTCCTAACAAAACAATTGGGAACTCCAAATCTAAGGATACCCAGAGTCACTTGGCATCAGGGAACCATGGAAATTGCAGGTGTGGGACAAGGAAGTATTGGGGCTATGGGTGCTTTGGGCCTAATGTGATTCCCCTGGGCAGTACGGAAGGGAATGGCCATAGCCACTGATTCAGCAAACACCAAAACTATTCATTCCCTGACACATGCCAGGGCATTGTTCTAGGTACTGGGGTTACAAAGACAAAAACCAAAATGGTTCATCCCCTCAAGGAATTTATACTGGAAGGGGGAGGGCTCCTCCCAGAACCTCCACTTAAGGAGGGCACCCAGGCACTAGCCTCTTTTCATTTCCTGCCAGGTTGACCTCGTCATGCCCAGGCGCAGGGTTCTTTCTCTCCCCACACTCTTTTCAGCTTCCTTTTATATATTTCCCTTCGCATTAGAATGTAAGCTTCTTGAGGGCAGAGGCTGCCTTTCTTTTTGCTTGTATTTGTATTCTCAGCACTTACCATGGTGCTTGGCACATGCTAAGTACTTAAAAAATGCTTGTTGACTGACTATATTTGATGTTGGAGGAGGGATGATTTATACACAGATAAGGAAATAAGAAATACATGAGAAGTAAATATGATGTCATCTCCCGGGGGAAATGGGAAGGCACTAGCAACTGGGGAATCAAGACAGGAACCTTCTAGAAAGTGGTCTTTAGGAAATGTTGGGAGTGTATCCAATTGCATGGTCATTGCACTTACCAACTTTTGCTAGGAAGGATATTTCCTGGGGCTGGAGCAACTTTAGGTATCAGCAGGAGCCCTTGGCTTTCCAGATGGAAAGAACCTCCAGAAGTCATTGGGTCCATTGACCTGTCTCCATGACAGGGGAGATCCTAGAGCATTATTTCTAAGCCAGGGACCCAGGTCATCAACAATATTTGCAAACTCTCTCCTCTCACTTTCTGAGCTCCCCAGCCCCTGAAGCTCTTCTCATCAGGTCCAGTTGCCTTGAGCGATGTGGGCAAGTGCCCAAGCCAAAGTATACCCAGGAATTTCTCTGTCTCTGTTTTCAGTGAAAGTCACAGTAGCAAGTGATATAGCCCAGATCCCTTATTTGGCAAAGCCTCGAGGCTTAGGGAGGTAATGTTTGTGATTTCTTTTTCCCCTCCTTTGTTTCTAGTCTCCAGTTTTACAGAACCAAACCAATGGGAAATGATGCCTTCCCACTGAAGCATTTTCTTCTCCTTTCTTTGTAACTTCAGTAAGCTTAGCAAAGTCTGGCATGTAGTAGGTGTCCAATAAATGCCAGTTGACTTACTGAAAGGCCAATAAGTCGTGTCTGTGCTTCTAGAGTTCCTAGTTTTGTCCCACGGTCTTTAAAGTCACAATAAATCCTTTACCAACCAGATGGAGAAAGTCTAAGGAAGGCTATGCCTTTGGTAGGAATAGACTGGTGAGGAGTCATAATGCATGCAGGGTTTTTTAAAGGCAGTGTAGGTGGTTGTCCACATAGTGAGACTGGAAGGGTATCACGAGGCCATCTCTAACCCAATATATCCTCCTGTTGTAGTCATATTAGCTGGCCTGAAATCTTGACTGCTAAAGTACCCATCTACCTCCTCCCAGGCATTTCCATTCCCACTGTTCCCACTGGAGTTGAGACCTCATCACCTCTTCCTTAGAGTATTGTAATAATCCCTTAACTGGTCTCTGTGTCTCCAGCCTCACCTTTCCCATCTATCCTTCACACTGCTGCCCGAGTAATCTTATTTATGCAAAGATCTGATCACAGCACTCTTCTGCTCAAAACTCTTCATTGGCTCCAAATAAAATCCAAACTGCTTAGTATGGCATTTAAATACCTTCTATGATCTGGCACCAATCTACCTCTTCAGCTTCATCTATGGGGGCACACCAGAGGAGAAGGAGCAGTCCTAATTTCTCTTACTTTTCAGTTATGCCAAAGGGTAGACCCAGAGGGCAGTCCTCCAAGAGCTAGGGAGAGCAGACCCAATGAGGAGCTTATCTCCCCTCTTCACAACCCTTCACCAGCTCCCAGCTACCTGTCTTCTCATGCAATGACTTTGGCCCCTTGAGCTGGCCTCTTGCATATGACTGCATTCCTGCCACAACAGTTGGTAACTTCAGTCAACAGCCAAAGTAGCTTCAGAAGTTTCCATTTTAGTGTTCCTATACTTTGAGCTAATTATACAAGATGGAACACACAGATAAGATTCAGAGGAGATGAAGGGCAGCCACGTGGAAGCTTATACCTCCATTACCACCCCATGCATACCACTGAACTTCACCTCAAGGAGGTGAGTGGGAGCAGGAGGTGGGCCACTATGACTTTCTACAAAAGTGAGTCAAGAGCCCAATTGGGCCAGGACCTTGTAGTGACAACCCAGCATTAAAATGGGCAAACTGCTGATACTCACTGGTGAGTTCATATCTGGTGAATGGGCCAGTGCCTCCAAGGATAGGTACTCTTTCTCCTTCCCAGGAAACTGCCTTCTCAAAATTTTCTTTCCCATCTACCCATCCATCTATCCATTCACCCAACCGTCAATCCCCCAAGTTGTCACTACCACTTCCTTGCCTATGGTTCACTTATTTCGGCTCCTTGGGAAAGGAAAATCTTTGAGTTGGCACCATCCTGAGGGCAGTGTTGTTTTCACTCTGGATTCCTTGAAGTGCAAGACTTGGTACTAGGTACTCAAAACACACTTGTTGATGAATCTATTGATTGACTGAATCAATTAATGAATGATG